TGTGTGTGTGTGTGTGTGTGTGTGTGTGTGTGTGCATATAAATTTGGGGGCAAAAATTAAGGCTCTCTAAAATTTCTAAATATTTTATTCTTCTATTTATGGGTTTTGGTTCGGTAGTGATTTAACTGATTCACTGTAAAAAAATAAAATAAACTAAAAGATACATCTTTGTACCCTACTTACCCATAAATGGTAAATATTAGGACCTTTAAGATACATATTAATACTTTTTAGCTTTTGTACCTTCCAGATATAAATTTGGGGGCAAAAATGAAGGCTCTCTAAAATTTCTAAATATTTTATTCTTCTTTTATTCTTCTATTTATGGGGTTTGGTTCGGTAGTGATTTAACTGATTCACTGTAAAAAATAAAATAAATAAATAAAAGATACATCTTTTACCCAAAAATGTAAATATTAGGACCTTTAAGATACATATTAATACTTTTTAGCTTTTGTACCTTCCAGTGCAACCCCAGTTACAGTCCCTTTTTTTCTGAGAGTGTTGAATGTGTTCGACACAATGGACTTTGTGTAAGAACAACATATGCTCTCATAAATAGAAAATCACTTTCAGGGGGCAAATATCGGCCCTCAAAAAATGCATATCTGACTCTGTTATGTATTTTGGACAGAGAGTGTGTGTTATGAAGTGTGTGTATAAGACGACCCACCAGCTCGTGTTTATTTGGAGTCGCCCGGCTGCTGGATGGAATTCTGCGGTGGGGGTGAATTCTATTTCTGATCCCGGATTCCAGTAGCATCACACACAGACACGCCCTTACAGTACGCTCATAAACACGTGTAAATGCAGTGACATTCATTCATGATTTTAGTTCGTTTGTGTGATTTTGCGTAGTTCCCTTGAGCATTATCACCATTAGTTTCTAGATTTCTGTCAGTGTTAATCATGTTAAATTGACAGCACATTTCAGAGATGTTTATCATCAGAACTGTCTATATCCAGTTGCAGTCTCGCATGCAATGAGTCCCTAGAGTGATTCACTCGGACAGTTGCATGCTCTGGATTACGGCCAGAAACTCACCCAAGACCGTTTTATCAGCTGGACTTTTTTAAGCAGTGCGAATACATGCGTTTAGGCTTAAGTCATGTTATGTGCAAGTCTTTAGCCTGTGCTGTATAGCAGTGACCTCACACATTTACCAGTCCATAGTTTTTTCATTGCAGTGATTTGTGGAATAGTTTGATAACCACTTGCTCTGCAGACTCATTAGGTATTTTTTATCAAGCAAGCCTCAGGATTTGTTGATCTTGTCATTTACTATTTTGCATCCTGTTGCGGAGTGTTTTTAAACCACGGTAGGTGTAATTCCTCACCATTTTAGTCTTTGTTAACCTTGTGAAAAATAAATGTGTTTAATTGTATTTAATGTGCACTTAAAATCTTAAAGTAATCATTTAAAAAAAAAAAAAGAAATGCAATTTTTATGCAGGTAATGCAATGTTAATGAAGGTCACTTAAGTGTACTTAAAGAGAGTATACTTTCATTAACATGCTTTTAAAAAGTTCACTTTGTAATGACAAAATAAAGTTTTACTTTAAAGTACACTTTACATCATTATATTAAAAAAAATTTGTCATGCTTTAAAGAAGTACATTTATTTTAATGTGTTGACTAACATACTGAAGCACAAGTACCTGATTATTGATTATTAATATCATTGATATTACGTTACTAAATTGCAACTTCATAATTACAATACATGTGAATCCATTACATACAAGCTTCAATTACATTAAAATATATTTGAGTTTACCATAAATGCCTGTCAGTACATTCGGCAGTACACTTATGCATATTTCAAACACAATATGTTATGAAATTACATATAAAGTTGCACTTATATCCTACTTAAGTGGGTCAAAAAACACTTAAGTTCAACTAACTGTAATAAATTTTTACATGCAATTAAGTTTTTGAAAACATTAAATTGGCTTTGCACTCTTTTAAAGCATATTATTAAATTATTAAAGTGTGCTTCATTTTTCACAATGGTGTTTATCTGTGTAGTCTCTTTTTTAAGTAACACAAGTAAAATGTTGGCTATTGTTGTATGGCATGAGGCCAAACGAGGAAAGCAGCAGTAGAAAGTAGCTTGTCAGGTGGAGTGTTTTCTTTTTTTAAGAGCATCTGTACTTGTTAGTGCTGTTTGCCAAGTGCAGCATCACTAATACTGTTGCTCATAGTGATTTGAAAAAACGCTTTAAGACGGCAGCATGTAATTCATCCTGCAGTATGTCAAAAACAGAAGATGGAAACATCCGGCCCGGGGAAACGCAAATGTGCAGAAGGTTCAAAAGCTTGTGAAACACTGCAGCCGAGCGGCCGTCTGTTTGCCATGAAGCCTCTTGGAGGATTGTGGGAACAAATGAGCAAACAAAACCAGATGCCCCTGAATAAATGTCACCCGACATGTTAAGAAGGGTTCAGGGGGTAACAGCCAAAAAGTAGGGCAACAGCGGCTCGAGGCTGGTGCAACAAGCAGAAACTGGGCCGGACTGACAACTTTGGACATCTATTGGCGTTCTGAGAAGTGCACTGCATTTATAGTCCATAACATGGAGCATGCAGATGCCTCTTCACTTACAGTACATGTGATCATGTTTAACTGTCTCTTTTGCAGCCAGCTGCGACCATGGCAGACCCTCCAACAGGCCCTCCTGAGGATATCAACAAAATCAGCTTCTGGATGGTAAGAAACACGCTCTTCCAAAGCCCAGTGAGCTGCCTTTCTGTCTGCTCCCTACACTGGCAGCATCTCAGCTGAGACGGAACCTCAGAAGTGATTTGGAACACACTGCTGCCAAAAAATAGCGATATAGACTCGATTCACAGGTTTCATAATTCTCAGGATATCCAGATAACAAATTAATAACTAATTAATAATTAATTACAAATTATACAACTACTGTAAGTATAGGTAACACTTTATATTAAGGTGTCTTTGTTACACATGTACTTACTATTATAATAATTAATTATACATAATTACATGCAAGTAACCCTAAGCCAAACCCTAACCGTATAGTAAGTACATGTAGTTAATTAACATTACACAGTACTTAAATGCATAATTACACTGTAACAAAGACACCTTAAAATAAAGTGTAACCTAAGTATATATAGATAATAGAGATGCACAGATACTAGATTTCCGATAGCCGATTATTCAGAATAATATCTGCCAATACCGATACTGATAGTATGGTTTTCCTAAAGAAAAGAAAAATCTCTCCCAACTAATGCTGGAAACTATATAGAAAGCAGTCTCATTTGGTACGTAATATTAGAGGTTGAAATGAACAACACAACTGCACATAAAGTTTCATAAAAATTGGAAGATGCTCACTAGGCATTGAAACAGGCAGTTCATATTCAGTAATAACATTGATTTAACTGCACTGGCGCTGCCAGATGAGAACAAAACTTGAACTAAACCGAGCTGGATAATGACACTAACTTTGCAAAATTAACACTGTTATTGAACTGAATTAAGCATTGAATTTAGCTCAAAGACATGACTGTCTTCTGCAGAGCTGGTTTACAACTGAAATTGAATTAGTTTCACAATTGATGAATTTTACAATAATATTTTTTCGTTTATTACTGTGAAGCTGCTTTGAAACAATCTGTATCGTATAAAGCACTGTATGAAAAAAATTCAACTCTACTTGGAACCAAGCAAACATACTATACGTAGTTCATAGAAAAATAAAATCAGTTCCCTTCTGTTCTCGTCTCTTAGCCAGGAAATTACATGCGGACAGTACAGAGGACACCAGAGTCGTACCAGGCTTGTAAAGACATCATGGCATGCATGAAGGACCGGGCTCATGTGGAGCGACAGTACGCCCGTCAGCTGACCGAATGGAGCAACAAGTGGAAAGCTATCACTGAGACTCGTGAGTGTCAAAAACCTATCGTCAGCTACATTAAACAACATGGCATTGGGTTTTTATCACTGAGTAGCTCCGCCTACAGTTCAATCTCATTGGTCCAAAATCCTGCTCCACATAGCATTATATTATGGAAGCCTGTTTCCACTGAATCAAAAATTTAAAAGGTAATTGTGACTTTTTATCTCACAATTTTGACTTTTTTTTCTCACGAATCTGGCATTTTTCTGCAAATGTATATTGCTAGACATAAACTCACAATTGCGAGAAAAAGTCAGAATTGAGAGTTTATATCCCACAATTCTGACTTTATAGCTTGCAATTGCGACTTTATACCAGAAAAAAGTCAGAATTGCAAGATGTAAAGTCGGAATTGCGAAAAAAAAATTACACAATTACCTTAATTTTTTACATTTTTATTCAGTGTTGGAGACGGGTTTCCATATAACATCCATTGAAAGTTGCATAATATTTGAGCAAACTTCTTTTATCTTATTTTGGATTTTATGTGAGTATTATCTTTGTCAAATAATTTGCACAATTATTATAGGTAAAAAGGCCAAAGCCACTTCTCTATTTATCTAAATTTGGTTAGTCCAGAGATTTTGGGTTATTTTGCTTCCATAACATCTAGTGGAAAAAACATCCAAAATACACAAGACTTGATTTGATTGTATTACAGTTTTACAACTATATATATATTTATATAATTTTACTGAGGAGTTTGCACATTTCGATTGATTTTGTAAATCATTTTTATTCCTGAAAGCATGATAGTAAAAAATAACGTTTTTTTTCTTTCTAGTTTTTAACTGCATTTTCTGATTTATGTTAAAAAGACAAATGCAAAATTAGCTTTCTGTAGAAATATTTTACTCTAATATGTCATTAAAATGAAACAAGATCTTTGGCTTTTTCTGGCTTTATCTAATGTTCAGATTTATGTTCTGAAAATATATGCAATTTAGTGAATATTTAATTAGACAATGCCTCACTGCGAGATCATTTGTGATTCTGTTATCATCTACCCCTTATTTTTCTCATGTGACTTTTATGCAAAGTTGCACTTTTACATGCAACTAAAATTTGCTGGCCGTCAAGTTCAGTTGCAGTTGTGCTGAGTGTAATGTAATTGAATAAAAGTGTGTGTAAGTGAGCTGATTTTTGTGTTTGTTTCTCTCAGGGCCGCTGTACGGGTCTCTCTTGCGGGCCTGGCAGTGCTTTTTCTCGTCCACCGAGCGTCTGTCTGCCCTTCACACGTCAGTCTCCCAGTCTCTGGTTTCTGAAGACGCAGAACGCATTCGCTCGTGGCAGAAGGAGACGTTCCCGCGGAAAATGTTCTGCGGATTCAGAGAGTCACATGATCTTGCGACGGCTTTCTCTCGCGCTCAGAAGCCCTGGGAGAAACGATTAAAGAAGGTGATAGTAAGCTGTATGCTGATGGTTAATAGGTGTTAATCAACTGAACTGTTTTCACTCCTGTTGGTTTAAAATCTCATGCAGCATATTCAGGTATAGTATATTCAGGCAAGGTAAAGCCACTGGTCAGTTCTGAGATTTTGCTGTAACATGTCTTCTCTCAGACTAATGGAAAGAAAACATCCAAAATACACATTTAAAGGTACAGTAAACGCTTTGTGAGAAACGCTGTTGAAAGTGGATCGGACTGAGCACCAAAACACACTTCTAGCCAATCAGCATTAAGGGGCGTGTCCACTCATGATGGGGGAGGTGCCTGTTGCATAGCATGTTTGTGAATTTGGGGGCGGGGCTATCAAGATGGGGTGTGATCCTTTTAGGTAGGAGTGTGTTTGTTTTTGTCATTTCAAATATCAAGAAATCGCTTACTGCACCTTTAAGTTTTTTTTTATTACGTTATCTGTCTGCATCTGTAGATTTCAATTTACAATGCATATATTTAAAAGATGTTTTCTTAATTTTTTTCCAGCCAGAAATCTTTAAGTATCTATATTTTCGCTTGTAACATTTGATTTGCATTTGATTTATTACATTTTATTTCTAAAAGCATGTGACAAATGTTTTTTTCTGCCTATTGACAGTATTTTCTGATTTATGGAGTGATACAAAATAGATCCTCCAAAATCCCCACTATAAAAACCTTTAACTCTAATATGTCAACAAAAATTAGAATTTTAGAAATAAGAATTTTGAATCCGGTTTTATACAATGTATCTGATCTGGAAATGTATGCAAATAATTCATGCATATTTAATTAGATAATCATATGTATCTAATTATATGTATATATATATACACTGTAAAAGTTCTTTTTTGAAGTTGATTGTTAAAATATTGTAAAAAAAATTTGTAAAAAAATCTTTCTACTTCAAATTTTTTTAGTAATTGTGAAATTTTCTAGTGGTTTCTCAGTAAAAATAGTTTCCAGATTTTTTCAGTGTATACATAACATAATGTATAATATTCTAATATTTAATATTAGAATAAAAAATACATTGGAAGCTACAATGCGAAACGTAGAGAAAGAAGATGACATAGTATCTCCAGTGCATAACATTCAGCAGCATAACTAAGAGCTGAATGGAATATGAAAAGCACTACATGACACTAATAATAAATCTTTGTGTCTCCATTAGCTGGAAAAGGCTCGTGCGGCGCATCATAAGTCATGTCAGAAAGAGCAGAGCGCTCAGGAAAAAGAGAATCAAGCCAAACACAACGCTAAGCTGAGCGAGAGCAAACTGTCCAAGATCCAGCAGGCCAGAGAGAAAGCCACACAGGAGCGCAGCAAGGTCAGTCAGCGATTGGACGCCACAGACAAACACCACTTACTGCTGCGACTTAATGAATGTGCGTGTGTTTGCAGGCACGTGATCGTTATGAGAAGGTTCTAGAGGACGCCACTGGCTTCGCACCGCGATACATGGAGGAAATGGAGTCTGTGTTCGACCAATCACAGGAGGAGGAGAGGAAGAGGATCAGCTTCCTGAAGCAGGCCTTCCTGTCCATTCACAGACACCTCGACATTACCAACAATGAGAGGTTTAAAACACAAACAAGCATGTTATTTTAGCTGCCTTATAAAGGTCACATAGACCAGTAAAACGATTACACTTTATCTGACGTTAAAGCATTCAGCACATTTTGAAGGAAAACAAACAAAATATTTGTTAGCTTTGTTGGTTTCAGCTATTTCAATTGCAGTTGATGATTTGTGTACATACAGTATATAGGGTTGTTATTGTTCAAACCGCAACCAAAAAAAAAAAGAACTAAATAAACGTTATTTTATTATTTTATTAAAAAGTCAATTATAAATAAACTTCTGCCATATAATTTCTTTTTTTTCTTATTTATTGTTATTGTTAAGTTTAACTTGAAGTACTAAAATACCTAAAACTAATAAATAACAATGAATACAAAAAAAAAAAAAACCATATAAAAACATACAAATGACAACAACAAAAGTACTACAATTAAAATTTTATAGAAAATATAAAAATAAAATAGTTTTATCTAATTCAAAATACTACTAAAAACTAATAATATATCAATGATAATGAAATTACACTGGGTACGTTTTTTGTTGTTGTTGTTGTTGTTGTAGACAAAACATTTTAGACCTGAGAATCAAATTATTTATATTTGATTATATTTCAAAATATACCAAAACAAGTAATATTTCAGTGATCATAAATTAAAACATTCATGATCACTGGGTAAGTGTTTTTTTTTTTTATGTCAAAATATCTTAGAGCTGAGAATCAAATTATTTATATTTGACATTTCAATTGTATAAATTGGTGTTTTCCATAAACACTGCAGGATATATTTGACAGACAGAATTTTATAAAGTTAAATAATATAAAACACTGATTGTCTCACATTGACTTCATCCACAGCCTTTTCCGTTTTAGTCTCCTTTATAAAGGCAAACAGCGACATGCAAAGATGCAAGTTTGTTGGAAAAACAACTTAAGGAAATCAAGTTTGTAGTATTATAGCTGCAGTGATGTTTCCTGTCATGTGTTTCAGTATTAAAGCAGTGTACAGTGAACTGCATCACACACTCATGTCCATCAGTGAGCCCGATGATCTCCGCTGGTGGAAGAACAACCATGGGCCGGGCATGCCGACAGACTGGCCCGAACTAGAGGTGTGTGTCATCACATGCATTCAGATATTATGAGCAGAACTGTCCTTATTATCTGTCCTGATTTATTTTTGTGACATGAACAGTTGTAATTTAGGGTTGCATGACTCTCTGAGCTTTAAATGAACTACACAACCCATTTGATTATATTTTCTTACTGCTATTTATTGCCTTTGCATTTTAATCTTGTAATCTTGTAATCTCGTCTCTCTCTGTGCGTGTGTGTGTGTGTTTGTGTGTGTGTGTGTGTGTGTTTGTGTGTGTGTGTGTGTTTGTGTGTGTGTTTGAGTTTGTGTGTGTGTTTGTGTTTGTGTTTGTGTGTTTGTGTGTGTGTGTTTGTTTGTGTGTTTGTGTGTGTTTGAGTTTGTGTGTTTGTGTTTGTGTGTGTGTGTGTGTGTGTGTGTGTGTGTGTTTGGCAGGAATGGAACCCGCCAATTAAAAAGCAGAAACCAGGAAAGAAACCAAAAATACACAGAGGAACTGAGGAGAAAGCGTAAGCTCATCAAACATACACAAATATGCAATAGTGTCTACATGTGTATATTTAACCCCACAATTTTCAACTATGAAGACTAAGAGACACCTATAGGAAGAATCTGAATTTTGAAATGATCTTTTTATCTTTAAACGTTTTTTTGAACTATTTCCATTTATTTTGCTTCCATAACTTGTCTTCTTCCAGACTAGCAAAAAGAAAACATCCAAAATATATAAATATTAAAAAAAATTTTATTATTAGACTTTTTCTATTTGGCCTATAGATTCCAATTAAAATCCATACTGTATATTTAAAGACCTATTCATAAAATGAGTCAGAAATCTCCACTTCAACAAATGTTAGTTTTATTCCTCTTTATATTCTGAATGTTTTAACAGAGTTTTGTTCATTCCTGGTTTATATAACATTTTTTTCCTAAAAACAGGATGCAAATTCATTTGTTTCTGGCTGTTGATAGTAATTTCCAAGTTATGGAGTGATAAAAACAAATGTCCTGAATCCCTCTGTAAAAAACAGAACAAAACTCATTTTTAACCTGGCTTAATCCCATGTTTAGATTCTTGTTCTGAAAATGCATGCAAGTTTGCGCATATTTAGTTTGTGTCCATATTTAAACATTACATTTCATAAAACATGTAATACAAATTAATTGTCTTAATGTACGTGATTAATCAACTGGCAAAGTGTACATATTAGTTAAATGTCTGTCCTATTCACCTGTAATGTTCTGCCTTAACTGAGAAATTTTGCACGCAAAGTGCTCTATTAAAATGTCAAAGGTAATATTAATTAAATCAAGTTAATTAGAAAAGAATTAGAATGAATCAGATTAGGAGCTGAAATGTGTAAGTATTGAGGTGCGAGTCTCTTTGGGTTTGGTCTCGACTGAGCTGATTGAGGCTGGATGAGGACTGATTGTGAGCTGCAGTCACTGAGGTGAAGTGTGTCATTTGTCCCGTCTGTGTAGCGCGTGATGCAGACCTTCATTTCCTCTCTGATGAATGACCTGGAGGTGATTTCATCTGGACTAGTCAGTTTGATCAGCCGTGAAGAGATGTTTTTGCACAAAATGCATTAAAAATGCAAAATTACAATATTTGTTTCTTGCATGATATCGGGATGGCGGCACTGAATTAAACATGAGGTCATGTGACAACAGTGTAGTGTACTACTCTTTAAAATGCTTATTGCATAATGCATACTTATTTTAAAAATAGTAGGCAATATTCAGTGCATGTTGGCACAGTATGCAGTCTGTGAATATTGCATTATTTATTTTAATTTTAATTTGTCTTTGATATTTGACAACACTTTACAGTAAGCTCTCATTACTTCCGGTTATAAAGTTGTTACAGTGTGTATTAATCTTTGTTAACATTATATCAAAATGTAGTACATATTAGCTCAGGTCCATTAAAAAATATTAACATATACAACTTATATTAATATACAAAAACGATTATATTATATTATATTATATTATATTAAGTAACTAACTAAATAAAAAAAATAAAAAGGAAAAGCATCTTTACATACAGTGTATATATATATATATATATAATAAACAATAAAAATGACAAAAGCACATAATAAAATGATTAAAACAAACTAAAATTATAATGAAACTAAAAATAAAAAAGAGCATTCAAAATATTAATAAATACTAATATGTGTCCCTGGAGCACAAAAAGCAGTGTTAAGTCGCTGGGGTATATTTGTAGCAAAAGCCAAAAATACATTGTATGGGTCAAAATGATCGATTTTTCTTTTATGCCAAAAATCATTCGGATATTAAGTAAAGATCATGGTCCATGAAGATATTTTGTAAATTTTCTACCGTAAATATATCAAAACTCCTACCGTAAATCTCAACTTAATTTTTGATTAGTAATATGCATTGCTAAGAACTTAATTTGAACAACTTTAAAGATGATTTTCTCAATATTTAGATTTTTTTGCACCCTCAGATTCCAGATTTTCAAATAGTTGTATCTCAGTCAAATATTGTCCTATCCTAACAAACCATACATCAATGGAAAGATTATTTATTCAGCTTTCAGATGATGTATACATCTCAATTTCAAAAAAATTGACCCTTATGAATGGTTTTGTGCTCCAGGCTCACATATTATATAAATAATACTAATATAGAGCTTGTTTGTGGATGCATCAGGATTTGAGCAGAAGATTTGTCTTGCAGGGTCATGATCGGAGGAGTGCGTGTTCGAGCGCTGTACAACTACACTGGAGAGGAGCCTGATGAACTCTCGTTCAAAGCAGGTGATCATGTGGAGCTTCTGCTGTTACACTGTAACTCTGAGTGCGGAGCTGTGGAGGTAACAGGTGTGGTCTGTCTCGCAGGTGAAGAGTTCCTCAAGGTGGAGGAAGAGGACGATCAGGGCTGGTGCTGGGGCGTGAAGGAGGGCGGAGTCCAGGGATTGTATCCAGCCAATTACGTGCTGCCTGTCAAATGATGTCATCAATCATAGCTGAGGCACAACAATGTCTATTCACAGTTATGGAAAACATACAGTGGCCATCAAAAATGAAATAAATGTGAATGTCATCGCATTAGAAATTGCTAAGAGCTAACTTGTTCACTTTTCTTTGACTTTTTCAACAATATCTATAGTTTTATCATTTAAAAACAGCTTTTTTTTTTGCTTGAAACGCGTGTTCGTGTTTAATTTCTGTGAGTTTCATTTAAGTGTGAGTTTCATTTTCATCTAATGCAATGACATTCAGCTGTTTTAAGTGTCCAAATACTTTCGGTCCACCATATCTTTAGTAAAAACAGCTACAACCAGTGTTTCTACAGACCAAAATATGAAAATAAAACATTAATGCTCTTTCACAGATCAAACCCTTACCTCTTCATTTAATAGTATAGGATGTCATTCATTTTAATTAACACATTTTTTCCTCCTATGCTTTTGGAAAACTTCCAAGAAAGCCAGAGACCAGCAAATGATTCAAGCAGAGTCAAGAAACGCATTCTTTGTAATTTATATATTGCTTAATGAGGGGTTGTAGAAAAACCAGTAGGAGCTTGTTAGAAAGAGTACGGGGCACTGGAGAAACAGCCTCCATTATCATCAGATCCAAATCCATATTATATTTCACCTGGACTGAATGAAACTATAAATAACCTTTCTGTGCACTGACCACTTGATTATCAGCTCTGACACACAACACTGCAACATCCAGGACCGAAGCGGCAAGGGAGGAATTTTAACAGGTATCCGGATAAACAACAAGGAACAGGTGCGTAACTATGGCAACCAGTCATTAATCCTGGAATGACAGGGACCTCTGGTGGTGGATCCGAAATCACATCTCAATCTGTTTTAATGCTGTTTTCCAGTCAAGAGAGAAGACTCCGAGCTTGTTTGTTTTACTGTATGCATGACATTTTTTTTTTTTAAATAATTTGTGCATTTGAAATATTATAAATGCATTTCAGTTACACTAACATTTAAAGGCTTAGGGTCATTACATTTTTCTTTTTTGAGAAAAAAATTGTCTTAAAGGGATAGTTCACCCAAAAATGAAAATTCTGTCATCATTTACTCACCCTCATGTCGTTCCAAACCTGTATGAGTTGCTTTTTTATGTTGAACACAAAAGAAGATATTTTGAAGATTGCTGGTAATCAAACAGTTGACTTCCATAGTAGGAAAAAAAATACTATGGAAGTCAATGGCAACCACCAACTGTTTGATTACCAGCAATCTTCAAAATATCTTCTTTTGTGTTCAACATAAGAAAGCAACTCATACAGGTTTGGAACGAGTAAATGATGACAGAATTTAAATTTTTGGGTGAACTATCCCTTTAAGTGTCTTAAACAGTAATATTCTGAAATATTATTACACTTCAAAATAACTTTTGTATTTGAATATATTTTAAAATTCAATTTATTCCTGGGATGCAAAACTGAGTTTTCAGCATCATTACTCCAGACTTCAGTGTCACATGATCCTTCAGAAATCATTCCAGAAATCTTTAGAAACATTATAAATGTCTTTACTCTCACTTTTAGTCAATTTAATGCATCCTTGCTGAATAAAAGTAATAATTTCTTCCAAAATAATTTTGAATATTAAAAGACTTTAAAATATTAGTGTTTAGAAGTGTTCATTCATGAAGATGCTAATTTAGGCCTACTTATACTTTTTACTTGTGTATAAATAAATTATCAAATCTGTAAGCACTAACTTAAAAAAAAATCCACAATTCTGTAGCATCATTAGTTTACTAACAGACTGCTTTTAATTGCAAATGTTGTGTAGTAGCATAAAGTCCGAAGTTACTGAGGCCCACCAATCACAACTTTAAACTGGCTAGTATTTTGTCTGCACTCACGGACTTGTTTCGATTATGTTTCTGGCCTTATATTACAGTGTAAAAGTTCATCTGACTGGTAATGGTAAAGTTATTAAACAGGTTTTCGTTTGGATGAGCATTAGCATCTAGCTAAAATCATATCTGACAATTATAACGGTTACGTTAAATTTCTTTGGAACTATTTGAAACCGACATAAACTTTTAACTTTCGACATACTATGATTTAGGATACTTTCTAATCTTGCACTTTGGACACGAAGCGTGAACCCTTACGAAAATTAACGAAAGTTTTATTATAGTAAAATGTTTTTGGCGCATTGATTACAATACAATTGTGGTTAATTTGTGGTTGCCATGGTAACCATGTTTTTTTTTTTTTAATATATATATAGTAAAACCATGGTTAATTTTCATAAGGGAACGATCAAACTGGTTTGTATTCAGTTCTGATATCATTTTTCACAACAATAATTTGTGCAAAAATGGTTCGTGCAGAACAAGTTCTTGAGATTATAATGGTTGATAATATCAGTGTCAAGCTAACATGTCCATATGTAGCAGGCCATCGCGTCAGTATTAGTAACAGAAGCACATCGCGTTTCGCTGAGGCAGATACAGAGAACTCATTCACAACACACAAACACAGTCCTCCACATAAACGCGCACACATACATACACGAGAACCCACATCAACGGCCTCGGCGAGAAGAAAACGCACACAATGGGCCTCAAGATATTGACGCACAAATGCATCGAGGATCACATCCGCACGGCTGTGACATTGAAAACAGAAAGCCACCGCACGACAGCGTTTAAGACGTCAACAAAACTGATGACACAGCTCAAGTTTGGCCTTAAACGTGAGGGAGTGATATAGACGGCGCGGGGGGGAGTCGTTTATTGTTTGTTTGTTTGTTTATATTTGTGTGCGTGAGTCTGTGCGTGTTGTACGGAACGAGTGAGGTGAGGGAAGAAAGAATATCCACTGCACCACTGTGTGACTGGATTCTTAATGGGAGGGGGATGGAGAGAGAGAGAGAGGTAGATGGCTTATCATTAAGTCATAATACATACTGGAGGACACAAGTGTGTGGGACGCAGACAGAGTTCAACACAGAACCGGAGGAGAGATCAAACAGGGCCGCTAATATGAACTAACTAGGCCTACCACAAGCATGTTCAACATGCAGGCCAAGCACCATTACGACAGCTAGACGGCCTGTTTATTCATGTATTGCTAATATACTGAGAGAATCAGCATTACTAGCGGTCATCAACCTTTACTAGGGACCGCAAAGATACCACCACCACCACCAAAAAAAAAAAAAAAAGCTGGTGCATTTTAAAATAAATTGGTGCTTGAAACCGAGCTAAGAATCCGCTTAAACGTATTTGTGCATATTTTTAGGCCTGCCTATGTGAATTCAGATGATGCATTTTGCATTCCTGGCTTGCCTGGTAATGTTTTAAAAATAACTTTAATTAATAACTTGAACATATATCATGCCCTCTAAAGATATAGTTCACCCAAAAATTTAAATTAGCTGAAAATGTGCGCACCCTCAGGCCATCCAAGATGTAGATGAGTTTGTTTCTTCATTAGATTTGGAGAAATGTAGCATTGCAACACTTGCTCACCAATTGATCCTCTGCAGTGAATGGGTGCCGTCAGAATGAGAGTCCAAACAGCTGATAAAAACATCACAATAATCCACACCACTCCAGTCCATCAGTTAACATCTTGTAAAGACAAAAGCTGCATGTTTGTAAGAGATAAATCCATCAGTATGGTGTTTTAACTTTAAACCATCTCTTCTGGCTAAAATATGGATCTGTAATCCATAATAACACTTTAACCATTAAAGGGGTCATATGATGCGATTTCAATTTTTCCTTTCTCTTTGGAATGTTACAAGCTCTTGGTGCATAAAGAAGATCTGTAAAGTTGCAAAGACTAAAGTCTCAAATCCAAAGAGATATTCTTTATAAAAGTTAAGAGTTAAGCCCACCGGCCTCTGCTCACTCAAGCCAGCCTCCGCACACTCTAGTCCGCCTGTCACTCTAGGCCTCCGGCCTCCGCTCACTGTTTCGTCGTGAAAGCGAAACTACTTTGTTTGGTCTTCCAAAAGAGGACGATATCTGCTTCGTCATGCCTAGAGCTGATCCGTGCTGGTCGCTGAGGAAATACATCAACTTCGCTGTTTTACTTTAAACCGCATAAACACGTTTCATTACACCAAATACACAAAATAATGTTCTTTTTAGCAACATCATATGACCCCTTTAAGTCCACCCTCTATTGTCCTCTTACGTCAAAATCCACAATGTATTTGTTTAGAACTGTTTTGGCTTGTAAACTGTGCTTGATCTGTGCAGATTTCTCTCCTGATTCAGATGAGATGCCTTTTTCACTGAAAAAAAAAAAAGAAGTATTATGGATAGAGGACTTGTATTTTAGCAAGAAGCAACTGTTTAAATTTGAAACATCGTAATGATGGGTTTGTTTCTTAAACAATTGTTGGACTGGTGTGCTGTGGATTATTGTGATGTTTTTATCAGCTGTTTGGACTCTCATTCTGACGGCACCCATTCACTGCAGAGCATCCATTGCTGAGCAAGTGATGGAATGCTACATTTCTCCAAACCTGATGAAGAAACAAACTCACCTACATCTTGGGTGGCCTGACTATTCATGTGACATGTTTAGAAATATATAAGATATGTTTATATATATTTTATGTCTGCCCACAGGCAGGACCTTCACGGACCGCTGATTGAAAACCCTAGAGCTGAACTTTGAACAAACAACTTAAATGATTTACTGCATCATGGTTGTCATCTCTGGCAAACATTTAGTGTCAGTTGTCTATTATTAACACATAGATATCAACATCTAATGATGACAATTAACAAATATAAATGGTGTTTATATGTAGCTCAAGTTACAAAACTAGCAATTTAAACATCATTTAGATAAGTGCTTTTCAAAGGGTGGCTCATTATGGAGACTAATTTTTGGGATGAAATGAATTTGTATTTCATGTCAAAATGCTGTTACTTACTAAAGACATTTTGTGAACTAAATATTCATCCCATGAGAGCGATATTTATTTTGCCCTGTCTGAATCACAGCGTTAATTTGGTCCACAAAATTAAATGGCGGGATCATATTTGACATGCTATTAATAGTTTGTGCGTCTGTTTTAACAAACAGTACAGCACGGTGTTAGCAACATCAAGGTTATGGGTTCGATTCCCAGGGAATGCATGAAAAACAACGTACGCTTTGAAATGCAATGTAAGTCACTTTAGATGGAAGCATCTTCCAATTGCATAAATGTCATGTAAAATACTGTATAATAGGGTCGTGGACAGTGATGTAAAAACAATGCTAAATGAATCATAAAATGGTAATAAATATGTAATCATTCATACATTCAAACACTGTTTTTGGTGCTGATATTAGCTGATATTATGTATGTAGAATCCAGTTTCACTGGAAAATTG